CATCTTGTCTGCGGACACGCTGAGCGAGCCGCCCGTGGCTGGCAGAGCTGCGGGGGGGTGGGGGGTGGAGGGGTGGGTGGGGGGGAGACACACGGAGAGAAAACAGCGACGGTCAAGCGCACGCACACGGAGCACCGCCACTCGCACAAAGACAAAGGTCCCGTGCAGCCTTCACTAATTGGAGGGGCGAGTGCCGTCAGCGAGCGGCACCTACGAAGGCTGCCGGCGCCGTGGCGCACGAGGGGGGGGCGGGTGGCCAGCACCACGCCCGGCCGCCTTTGTCTCTCCCCCAGTGCTAGCGATGTTCACTACACACCGCACCGGGTACTCGTTTGAGGCCGAGTCGACCTAGGGGAGGGCCCAGGACCGGCTGGGTGGGTGGCTGGGTGGGTGGCTGGGTGGCTGGGTGGGTGGCTGGGTGGTGGGTGGCTGGTGGGTGGCTAAGTGGGTGGCTGGGTGGCTGGGTGGGTGGGTGGCTGGGTGTGGCTGGGTGGGTGGCTGGTGGTGGGTGCTGGGTGGGTGGCTGGGTGGTGGTGTGCTGGTGGGTGGGCTGGGTGGGTGGCTGGTGGGTGGGTGGCTGGGTGGGTGGCTGAGTGGTGGGTGGCTGGGTGGGTGGCTGGGTGGGTGGCTGGGTGGGTGGCTGGGTGAGTCGCGAAATGAAGAAACTCACTCGAGAGTTTGTCCGTGAGGCCGAGTCCCAGCTCGTCCAGCACCTGGCTGACGATGGCATCACTGCATGCACACACACACAGACAACACACACACACCAGACACACGCGGAGACAGACACACACACACGCACACACACACACAGACACACACGCACATAGACACACACGTACACACAAAGATAAAATCCCCCTGTAGCCTTAACAGACTGTAGGGGCAAGTGCTGTTAGCGAGCACCTATGAAGGCCGGAACGGTACACGAGGGGGTGGGTGGCCAGCACCACGCCCGACCGCCTTTGTCTCCCCAGTGGCGATGTTTACACACCGCACCAGGTACTCATTTAAGGCTGAGTCGACATAGGTGAGGCCCAGGAACGGTTTCAGATAATCGTCAACGGTGGTGGCCGTGAGGTGTACAGTCTGAAAGTACCCACGTGGCAAATTTCCAGTGTGTTGCATGTCGGGAAGTACGCTAAACATTTTGAACAGACACACACATACACACAACTTTGCCTTTGATAATTGTTTTTTACCCTTCTATCTGGCAACAAAACTGACACCTTTTTACAAGGAGTCATGTTTGCATAGACTGCAATACCTGCAGTCATAATGCAAACAAAAAACATAACTCTGATAATGTGTGTGCACTGTCCTTGAAGTTGATTGGTCCACACCCGAGACAGCTTTCCTTAGAGCCTAGTCTCACATGGTGTTGGACCAGATGACGCCAAAAGGCGCACAACTCAAAGACAATGCACCGTCAGAGTATGAGAGCTCGCGACTCCCCCCATCACCTCTCCTCCTCCTCCTCGTCGCCCTCATCGCCCACGGCGTCGTCGATGGCGTCGTTCATCACCTCCTCCTTCACGTCCGTGATCTCCGACTGCTCCTCAAACTCCATCATGATCTTGTGGACCTGCGGCAGCGTGAGCTGGGCGGGGTGCGACACGCGCGCTGGCGGAGACGAGTCATCGGTCGTGTAGTGTATAGTAGTGTATAGTGTAGTGTATAGTGTAGTGTATAGTGTAGTGTATAGTGTAGTGTATAGTATAGTGTATAGTAGTGTATAGTGTAGTGTATAGTGTAGTGTATAGTGTAGTGTATAGTATAGTGTAGTGTGTAGTGTATAGTGTAGTGTGTAGTGTAGTGTATAGTGTAGTGTATAGTAGTGTAGTGTATAGTGTAGTGTATAGTAGTGTAGTGTATAGTAGTGTAGTGTATAGTGTAGTGTATAGTAGTGTAGTGTATAGTAGTGTAGTGTATAGTAGTGTAGTGTATAGTGTAGTGTATAGTGTAGTGTATAGTGTAGTGTATAGTAGTGTAGTGTATAGTGTAGTGTAGTGCCTCCATAGAGCCCAGTGTGTTCACTTACCCACCATTCCCCTGTTAATGACGGGCTGTTGTCAATGGAGTAAATATTAATGAATGCATCGGTAAACCCCGTTTCTTTTAACACGATGTGTTTATAATGTTGTCAGTATCTTTATGAATTAATATGTTCATTGTTTAAATGTTATAAAGAACTTCTTTTGAAGGGTAACTTTCAATGCCATCGGAACGAATTAAGCCTTTTCGCTTAACCACCAGTTTCACGGAACCAATCACCAACGTGAAGAAGAGAGATTTCACTGTAACAATTGTAACCCAAGTTCAATATTCAAACATAAATAACCATCTTCTTGGTTCTTTCGGTAAAGTCATCACGTAGAATGGAAATAATGAAATAATAAAAATTAAACATAATAAAATACAATTCTCACGACGTTTCGGCCACAACGCAAGCAGCTGTCCTCAGGTGAAGACCAGGTCTGTCAGAAAGACAGCGTCTAAATGAAACACCACCAAGCTTGGCAGCGTATATTTAAGCTGCTGGGTTGGAGGGGGAAGAGCGCCTTGACAAAGGAATTTGCATATCAAGAGGAATTTAGCATATTTAAGATACAATGTTGAAGAATGGCAGTCGAAGAAGCGTCGATGACATTTTTTAAGTTTTGAAATCCCATCGACGATACTCGTGCCATTTTTGAGTTGCTCCTGTTTGTGTAACGTATCGCTGACCAAATTCTTTTCCGGAAGTACATTTTCAGAGCCAACGAAACGCCCGGAAGATCGCGGTGGTGTTGACGGTGGTCACCCATTAAATTACCAACCAGGCCCAAAAACCCTGCTTAGCTTCCAGACAGCCAATGAGGTGCGGGCGCATGCCGCAGTGATTTGCTCGCAGGCGTACAGTCGGCATTTCTTCTTCAACGCATTTATTGTTTCTGCTTCCATTGTCCACACTTTGAGTTGTTCCGTGTTACTTTGGTGACCCGGGTGATCACACGCGCAAAATTCTCGTCTCTGGAGTTGGTAAGACAAAGGCGATCAAGCGCGATTCTAGCGCTCGCAAAGCTCCGTGCGTGTGCGTGCGAGGCAGCGGGGCCCAGCACACCTACCTGCTGGTTCATGGCGGCCATGGCCCTGGTGACGCCCTTCATGGCCTGGGCCATCGCGCCGTTGGACTTGAGCGTGTGCATCTTGAAGGACACGGCCTGGATGTTGGCTCGCATCACCATGAACTTCTTGATGTGGCGACGCGTGCGCACCAGGTCCTTGGCCATGATCTTGACGGCGTCCTGCCGCGGGCGAGGGTCAGGGCGGTGGGCTCAGGGCGATGGGGTCAACGGAGCGATAAGAAACGCGACAAGGGAGATGGACACGGGCGATAGAGACGGAGAGAAGGCGAAAGACACAGGCAGGAATAACGAGACACACAGAAACAGCGAGAGAGAGAGATCCACACACGAAGAAAGTAAAAAACAGAGACCAAGCCATGGAGAGACAAACACAAAAACAGAAAGATCCACACACGAAGGCCACAAGACACACAGAGAGACAGAGCTGAGACAAAAATAGAGACACAGAGAGATATGGGGAAAGAGGCACGTACAGAGAGAGAGTGTGTCTGTCACATGGAGTTGGGCACATTCCATTCCCAAACTCAAAGTTGCCGACCCTTACCCGCCTCCTCCTCCACCCTGCAACGTGTCCCACCCATCACCCTGCACACGTGTCCCACCCATCACCCTGCACACGTGTCCCACCCATCACCGTGCACACGTGTCCCCACCCATCACCCTGCACACGTGTCCCACCCACTCACCGTGCACACGGGTCCCACCCATCACCCTGCACACTGTCCCACCCATCACCACGGCCCCTGCACACGTGTCCACCCATCACCCTGCACACGTGTCCCACCCATCACCCTGCACACGTGTCCCCACCCATCACCCTGCACACGTGTCCCACCCATCACCCTGCACACGTGTCCCCACCCATCACCCTGCACACGTGTCCCACCCATCACCCTGCACACGTGTCCCACCCATCACCCTGCACACGTGTCCCACCCATCACCCCTGCACACGTGTCCCACCCATCACCCTGCACACGTGTCCCACCCATCACCCTGCACACGTGTCCCACCCATCACCCTGCACACGTGTCCCACCCATCACCCTGCACACGTGTCCCACCCATCACCCTGCACACGTGTCCCACCCATCACCCTGCACACGTGTCCCACCCATCACCCGCACACGTGTCCCACCCATCACCCTGCACACGTGTCCCACCCTCACCCTGCACACGTGTCCCACCCATCACCCTGCACACGTGTCCCACCCATCACCCTGCACACGTGTCCCACCCATCACCCTGCACACGTGTCCCACCATCACCCTGCACACGTGTCCCAACCCATCACCCTGCACACGTGTCCCACCCATCACCCTGCACACGTGTCCCCCCATCACCCTGCACACGTGTCCCACCCATCACCCTGCACACGTGTCCCACCCATCACCCTGCACACGTGTCCCACACCATCACCACCTCCGCTAATCCGACTCCACCCACAGCGCTTTCCTCCCACTGCCACGTAGCTTAGCGAGGGCCCATCAAACTATATACCCGTGCTCCCTCACCATGTGGCCGGCTTTGGCCATCTTCTTGATCTCAGCGACGATCTTCTTCTCCTGCGTCTGCAGCGTCTGTCTCTCGCGCTCCAGGTCTCTCATGGCGCGCGCGAGGGCTCGCTGGTTCCGCCGCACCATCTGCTCCGGAGTCTTTCTCTTTCCACACAGGCAGTCCATGGCTGGCTGCGACTCTGCAGAAACAGCGACGACGCCACAAGGCGCAGTTCAACGACGACGACCACCACGTGGTGGTGACGCGCGCCTGTCACCCGGCAGCGCTGTGACGAGCGCGGGGCTTGGCCTGGTCGCACACATGTCGTGAGAGTCTCGTCGCTTGGACGCCGAGGTGCCGTGCCCTGCACGGCCAGGAGAGGGCGCTAGAGCGAGCGTGGACTCCTGACAGTGTCCGTGTGTGTGAGTGAGTGTGTGAGTGTAGTCCGGCAAAACAACCTCCTACCTCCTCGCGGTGCCGGACGGGCAACACTGTCGTGGGCAGTGCTGTGGGGGGAGGGCCAATGCCCATTGGCCTCTCCCCTCATGGCGTCTGTGACCACCACAGTGGCTAAACGGGGGCTCTGGACGGGTGTGAGGGGCTGGTAACCCCTCCACCTTCAATTCATTACCACTAAACCACGAATTAAACATAAACCTGTAACAAATAAGCTTGTGCCGGAGGCCCCGGGGGGTCAGGCTTTTATGACGTCTCCTGGCCAAACCCCATTTGGCGGAGCCAGGAGATTGAATTTTCACCCTCGGGGCTCCTCCAGAAACAACAAAAAACCATTGCGGATGGCCACGTGGAATGTTCGAACGCTCACTGCGGAGGAGAGGCTGCCACTCCTCTGTCGGGAGCTGGACCGGTACCGCCTGGATCTCTGTGGCATTCAGGAGGTCCGGTGGACCGGTTCTGGCTCCTGCCACCATGAGGGGTGGACAGTCCTCTACTCGGGGCAGGAGACTGCCAAACAACAGGGTGTGGCTCTTCTTCTGAACAAAAGAATGAAGGGGGCGTGGGAGCGTGGCGGTGAGGTGTGGGAAGCTGTAAGCCCCAGGATACTTTGGGCTCGCCTTCCCATCAACCAGAGGCGAGGAGTGGTGGTCGTGGTTACTTATGCCCCCACCGAAGACGAACATCCGTGGAGGGATGCAAGCAAAGCCGATGAGTCAGACGCTTTCTATGACCTCCTGTCACAGGTGCTGGCTAAAGTGGCCACTCGGGACAGAGTCATCTTGTTGGGTGACTTCAATGCCCGAGTTGGTCATGATGCTGACACCTGGTCTGGAGTGATTGGAAGGCATGGGCCAGATCAGCTCAATAATAACGGTAGGAGGCTGCTAGATTTTTGTGCAGCCCATGGGCTTGTAATTACCAACACGCTCTTCCGGCATCGGCGCATCCACACAACATCATGGATACATGCCGGGTCCAAGCAAGAACATCTGCTGGACTACATAGTGACGGACCAGCGGATGCGAACCCATGTCCTTGACACCAGGACCTACCGTGGAGCTGATCTGTCCTCTGACCATCGACTAGTCATCTGTAAGATGCGCCTGCCTTTCTTCCACTCTGGTGGTGGGTGTACACCCAGGATCCCATTCCAACCAAAAGTGGCCTGGTCTCAGTTAGCTGATGAAAGTTGCAAGCGAGAATTTCATCATCGCTTGCAGCTGGGGTTGGCATCGTCCCCCACTCCACCTGATGTCGAGGGTAAATGGGCGAGGTTTAGGACTGTGACTCATGCAGCTGCAATGGCTGCTTTGGGTACGCGGTCCAGACCTCCCCAGAAACCCTGGCTGACAGAGGAGGTGTTCAGGTTAATTGAGAAAAAGCGACAGGCTCACTCTCATCGCCTACAGCATCCCACGTCAGAGAATGAGGAGGTTTACCGCAGCCTTCGCTCGGAAGTTCGGAGAGCCGTAAGGCGTTGTAAGGATGGGTGGTGGTCGCGGGTTGCTGAGGAGATGGAGTCTGCCTCAGTGGCCCGTGATCACAAATCACTATTTAACTCCATCAAAAAAGTAACCTGCAGCGCCACACCTATTACCATCATTAGAGGAAAAAACGGTGATCCAATCTCCGACCCCCAGGAACAGGTTTGCAGATTTGCTGAGCATTTCTGTGAGGTCCTGGGGGAGGGAAATTCTCTCAACCAGGAAAACATCATGGCACAAAGTGGGGATAACCCTGCTGAGGCTGCGGTGCCTCAAATATTGGAAGAGGTCACCCCCTGTGAGTGGCTGGCTGAGGTTCCAGCTGTTGAGGAAGTACTGAGGGCGATCCGGAGTCTGAGACCAGGGAAGGCACCGGGCAGAGATGATCTCCCAAGCGAAATGCTGAGGGAGGGTGGCGTTTGTGCACAGACTGCCCTATATGACATCATAACAACAGTCTGGACCACTGGACGGGTTCCGCAGGACTGGAAGGATGCCCTGGTGGTCCCCCTCTTTAAGAAGGGGGACCGCACAGACTGTAACAACTACAGGGGCATCTCACTCCTCAGTGTGCCGGGTAAGGTCCTGGCAAGGATTATTCAACATCGCCTTGCTAGGCACGCTGAGGAGGGGCTTGCGGAGCCCCAATGCGGTTTCAGGAAAGGGCGGTCCTGCACAGATGCCATATTTTCTGTCCGTCTGCTACAGCAGAGGTGTAGGGAATTCCAAAAAGACCTACATCTCTGCTTTATTGACCTGGTCAAGGCCTATGATACCATCAGTAGGACTGGACTCTGGGTTATTCTTCGTGCTTTCGGAGTCCCTGACCCTCTGCTCACGATCATTAAGGACCTTCATGATGGTGAGCGGGCCCGGGTAAAACTACGCGGCCGGGAGTCGGAGCCTTTCCCTGTACACCTTGGGGTGCGACAGGGATGTCCTCTGGCTCCCACATTATTTAACATCTATTTTGACCGCGTAGTTCGTGAAGCCTTCAATAGCTGTACCGGGGGAATTTCCGTTTGGTACAGATATAATGGGAGGCTGATCGACGCCCGGGTGCGATCAAGGGATGGCTCCCTATTGGTCAACCACGTTATGTATGCCGATGATTTGGTAATAGCTGCTCATTCAGAAGAGGAGTTGGAGGCGCTGCTGATGAGACTGGAGCGTGCCACTAAGAGGTGGGGCCTTACCATCAGCCCCACCAAAACCAAGCACCTGCCTGGGTATTTTGTACCATCGGACACTCCACCCCCACAACTCCCAATTGGTGATGGGGCAGTTGTGGAGAGAGTGGAGAGTTTCCCATACCTGGGCAGTGTGCTTATGACCGGCTCCAGTCTATCAGCAGAGGTCTCACTCCGAATCAGTCGAGCGGCAATATCTTTTCATCGGTTGCGTAACGCTGTGTGGAAGCTACCTGGTCTGTCGCTCAGGTCTTCTCGGCCACGGTCATTCCCTCCCTTCTCTACGCTTGCGAGACGTGGACCCCCCTGGTGGAGCATCTTCGCCGGTTGGAAACATTTAGGCTGGCCTGCCTACGATCCATCCTGGGTTTAACCAGGCTGGATTGTGTGAGGAGCTCACAAATCCTTGAAAGATCTGGGCAAGGTCCCATCAGTGAGCTCCTCCGGCAGGCAAGGCTGCGTTGGCTGGGTCATGTAGCCCGCATGCCCAGCCACCGCATGCCTAAACAGCTTTTGTTCGGCCGGATCGAGGGGGCTAGACGGGCGCGGCACGGGCTGGAGAAGAGATGGAGTGATGTGGTACAGGAGGACGTGGAGCTGAGTGGACTTGCCGATGACTGGTACCAGCGGTGTCAAGATCGGCCTCAGTGGAGGAGGCTCGTGAAGGACGCTACTGGGCAGTTGGAGGCAGTCGCCCTCCAACAACAACGGAGGGCGGAGGAGCGACGCTCACAACAACGAGCGGAGCGCCGGGTGGCTAAAGCACAGCAAGTTGGCACAGTAGGGGGCACAGGTGGTGCATCAGCCAGTCATCTCGGTCATCTCGGTCAGTCGACCAGTGGCACCTGGGTCTGCCCCGTGACCTCCTGCCAGCGGGCTTTCGACACTTCACGTGGCCTCAAGGTGCACTTGGCCTGGCACAAGCATCGTGGTGACGTCACCGCCACTTAGTGGCGAATGGCGGTTGTTGTTGTTGTTGAGTGTGTGTGTCTGTGTGAGTGTCCGTGTGTGTGGTGTAGATCGGTGACCCCCCCCCCCCTCGCACCACTCCCAAATGTAAACGCTCGTGACGGTGTGCAGAGCGTGGGTTCGAATCCCGATCCTGACGCCCGTAGAGTTGGAGTTTGTCAGCTCTCCCCACCACCACCACCCCCCACCACCCCCACCACCACCCCCACCACAACCCCCCCCACCACCACCCCCCCCCCACCACCCTCACCACAACCCTCACCACCCCCCCCACCACCACCCCCACCACAACCCACACCACCCCCACCACAACCCTCACCACCCCCACCACAATTCACACCACCCCCACCACAACCCACACCACAACCCCCACCACCCCCACCACCACAACCCCCACCACAATCCTCACCACAACCCCCACCACCCCCACCCCACCACCCACCAGAGGTGGGACAAAGTCATTGTTATGCAAGTCCAAGTCGAGTCTGAAGTCATCAAATTCATGACTCGAGTCTGACTCGAGTCCAAGTCACATGACTCGAGTCCACGCCTCTGCCACCCACCCCCACCACCCCCCCCCCACCACCCCCCCACCCCCACCACCACCCCCCCACCACCACCCCCACCACAACCCCCACCACAACCCTCACCACAACCCCCACCCCCCACCACCACCCCCACCACAACCCCCCCACCACAACCCCCACCACCACCACCCCGCGTCAAGATGACAACAACAACAAGCAGCAACGTTTAGACAAAACATAAACCACAACAAGTCGTCTTGTGAGCCATGTAAGCGCGTAACAACGACTGCTTCGTCACTCAAAGCTGCTCTAGAGGAGTTGTACACCCCGAGCTGTCGCTGCTGTTCAGTGGCCTCAAATACAACGTGTCGCTCCGGATGATCGCTACAAAGTGTGGCCTGTCTTCTTGGTTCTTTCGGTAAAGTCACGTAGAAGGGAAGCAATACAATAATAAAAATAAAACATCGTAAAATAATTCTCACGACGTTTCGGCCACAACGCAAGCAGCCGTCCTCAGGTGAAACCAGGTCTGTCGGGGAGACAGAGTCTGTGTGCT